GGCTGAGCTGGCATCAGAGACAGAAAACAGTAATACTCTCTCAGAGTAGAAAAAAACATAATGGCCTGCTATGCTTTGGATAATAAATTACCATGTGATCATTTCATGATAAATCATCTTAGATACTTTTTCTTCAAATCTGGACAAAAACATCTTTCCTTATTCCCCGCAGAGGCTTTTAAATATACAAACCCATTCATTCCTGATCTGTTTTTTTGCTCGTTTGTTTATCCCAATAAATTTCAAACCAGTAGCAAGACAGTTTAAATCATCGCATTCTGTCTTGTTACTGCTGAAGATTTTACGCCTTTTAATTTTATGTTAGACAGAGAAGCAACTTGCAGGGTCTCCTCCCTACACAAGCCCAGCATCCCGGTGTGTTAATTACAGCACCACCAGGGGGTGTGAGGACTGGTCTTTTTCAACTGGGATTTCAGAGAGAAATACATTCAGAGGATTCACTCTTTGTATTAGGAATTCGAGGAGGTGTCTGCTAGGAGGAGGCCGCTCCCCTGGAGGAATTCGCAGTGCAATCTGGTGAAAGCAGATAACTAAAAATGGTTATGCTATGAGATGAAGCCCGCTGCTGCGGGAAGGTGAGAGGAAGAGAATCCTGGAACTCAGGAGAGCAGCTCCGTTTTCGTTTAGCCTGTCTGGCCCGCAGAGTTGTTGCTGCAGCTGTCTCCTAGCAACCGCGCTGCGGCTCTGGGAAAGACCCCCCCCCACACTCACACCCCAGCGGGCTGTTTCCTGGAGGGTTTCCCAGGGCTCCCAGCCGCCAGCCTCCCCGCTGCACTGCTACATTAGATAAGCGTGGCTCGTCCCTCATGGAAATACTTGTCCTGTTCCACACAACCGCCTCTCCTGGTTTTCTTCCCCCACTCCACCCCCGCCTCCCGGACCCACTGAATCAACACCTCCGCAGACAGGGTCCGGGCGTTTCTAAGGTAACTCCGATGCCCGAGTCCGGCTGCCAACCAGCTCTCCTGGCTTCCTTCTCATTGTCTCGTCCGGGGATGGCTCTGAACTTGGCAAGGGAGGGTATAAACGCAGCTGTCTAGATTGGGGCCACCGGAGGGGACCAGACCGTTTGCCTTGAACGGCCGTTGCCCGGAAAGACAACCTGTGTTTGCATAACGTGTTTCTAGATCTCTGCGGATAACCAATCTCAATTCACATGCCTTCTACACAGCTCACCACACGGTGATCACTGTGAGAAACACACAGCCCTGGTCTATGTAAAACTCTGAAAATATTCGTTGCCACAAAGGATATTGTTAGCAGCATGATGACTGTCACCCAGAGGACTTGTGGGATTACTACTACTCGGGACGGCGTGTCCCCTCGCTGCTGACGCCCCCACACTGCCCACACGCGTGGCCCCAGCTCTCCAGCCGCTCGCTCAGACCTGATGCTCAGAGCACACATTCCTCCTCCCGCCAACGGCAGCTCCTCCTCGTGAATTAATGGTTGGCCTTCAGTCCAACCACAGACGCCTCTTCCTTCCCTACACCTGCTTTATTTTTCTAATTAGCTGAGTTGGAATAATGACTACATGCTGTGGTCACAAAGCACAGTGCATATTTAGTTTTTTAAAAAATTATTACAGTAAAAAAGACATTGCCGTGAATACACCTTAAAAATACTCCCCCTTGTTTGGAACATACTTAGCTCATTTCTTGCCAGTTCTGAAGCAGTTCTGGAAGTCCTCTGTCCTGAGTGTGCTTAGTTGTACCACTGTGGCTGCCTCGATGTCCCGAATTGGATTCAAATCATTTATCTTTCGTGATCATTTACTTTGAGGGAAGAAACGGAAGCCGCACAGTGCCAGATCTGGTGAAAACGCGAAGACACGTGACGTTTGCACAATCCTCCCTTTCCGGTGGATGGCGCTCAGCAGCAGCATTCTCCTACTTTTGATCACTGTGAATGTCACAAGACAGTATGGAAGGGGTTGTCCAGAACTTCTCCAGAAAGTGATAAGAAGAGAGGCGGAATAGTTTTAGGGACAGTGGCAATGTGACTTCTACTGCTAATTTTTTTTTTAAATATTTGCCATACTTTTCAGTCATGCCTCATAACTGCCTGGTCAATCTGTGCCTCCCTCTTTGTCCTCAAAGCCAGCACAACCACCGAGCTCTATGCCCCTCCCTCTCCCTCGCTACTTTTGGCACGCAGGTGTCAAGGGCCCTCTCCCTCAAACGCAGCGCTCCGCCACCCTGAAATCTGTTTCCCCCACTGTCCCTTCTTGAAGACCTCTCTGTGGCCAGAATCACTTCTCCGGCGCCCTGCATCTTCCTACCAGAGGCCCCAGACCCACAGCCCTGTTCTTCCTCTCAAAGCCTTCAGCGGCTCACTCTCAGCAGAGTTCAGAAAGAGGTCACAGAATTGCAACCCTTCAAATACAGGCAACATCGAGGCACCAACTTACCTCCCGCAGAAATGCAAGCTGCACTGCAAAAAATGAGACACCCAGTGCAGTGGTATTTGCTGGTTGGTTTTATTTCATGCCCTAAGCTCTTCCAAGGCCTGCATTCCGGCCACAGTGCTGCCCGGTGCCACTTCCGGCCTCACAGCAGCAAGATCAGAGACACTGCCACCTTGTGGTCACTGGAGAATATGTTGCACGAAATGATCCTCTTTTTTTTTTTACGAGAACTGAAATCTGGAAGCATTGTTTCATTATTCCCTCTCCCTAGGCCTTTATTTTCAGAAATTAAGTTGTCAAAATCTACTTTTAGTGACTCTCTTTTCTTTTAAAGGAATCTGTTTATTTCTTTCTATCATGTTACTGAAGGGTACTGAAAGACATGTCTGGGTCTTCCATTGGTCCTGGGAACTCATCTAAATATTTTACTTTAAGGAGCTATATGTGTTTCAGGCCAAAACTGACAACAATATGAGGACAGCAATGAGTTGATGCTATCCTCCAGTATAAACCCCAAAGAGGGCACAGAAGAAGTAGCCAAGGAGCTAGGTGTGGTGGCCCACTCTGTAATCCTAGCTGGTTGGGAGGCCAAGGTAGGAGGATTGCAAGTTTGAGGCTGGCCTGGGCAGCATAGCCAGAGCCTGTCTCAAAAAGTAAATAGCACAAATAAATAGGGCCAGGGCTGTATCCTTGCACTCCTGGGGTTCAACCCCAGGACTGGAGAGAGACAGAGGTGGGGAGGGGAGAGGGGAGGACAGGAGAGGACAGGAGAGGAGGAACTGGGAAGACCAAACGTACATTTAAAGAACTACAGATAATGCACAAATAGGCAGACAGCAGGTACAGTGAGAACTTTAAAACTGGAGGAAAATGTTTGTAATGTAGTGGTTGTATCGTGATGGTCACATCTATCTTAAAATGTTGATGTATAGACAGTCTTCTAGTTATCCTGCAGTTAAAATGGCATTAGATTCCCCATAAAACCATCATAAATTGGAAATATCATAAATAAAAAGTGAATCAGTGCATCAAACACTTAATGTACCAAACAGCAGAATTTAGCCCAAGTTTCCATAAACAATGCTCAGGACACTGGTGGTCACCTTCAGTTAGGCAAAATCACTTAATACAGAGCCTGTTTCATAACAGGGAGCTGAATGCCTTGTGTAACTCACTGAACACTTGTGTTCAACAGATACTGGCCACACAGTACCCTGTAAAGAGTGGCTTGTGTGTCTCTTGTGGTTTAGGCTGAGTTGCTCGGAGAAGCCCTTGGGCATTCTAAAGCTCATTTGTACCCTGTGACATCATAGAATATACACTTTATAAATGATTTGTTTTTCACAGGGTCAATAACTAATTACTAGTTTGGGCACCGTAAATAAATCAATATCGGAAAGTAAGTCTAAGTAGATTCATCACAGAATGATTGGTCAATTGGCAGACAGCAAATTGCAGTATTACCATCTGATTTGGTATCTCTTTCTTTCTTTTATTTTCTTTACTTTTCAAAGAAAAAGAACCTACTTTGGCCGAGGTGAGGACTATGACCAGGCCAGTGGAAAATGCCAGAAGGAAACTAGTACCAGTTCTACTTAGTGCTATTTTTTACTTGCTTGTTTAGGATTATGACGAAATCCTAACCATCCCAGCAATCCTTCCTCCACTCTTAATGACACCCCCCACCTGGGTGATAATCAGACTTGGAGCTTTTCCTGAGTACTGAGCCCAGGATAAACCACAGACACTCATTGCCTAGTAGAGTCGGAAGCAAAGTAAACACAAAAGTAGGTGGAAGCAAACAAGTAGGAGACTGCAAAGGTGAAGGAATAAAGAGAGGGACCAAGCAACAGGCGAGAGAGTTCTCTCAGAGCCTGTCCCCGCTATGGGTTTTCCATCCAAATCCAAGGATATTCTTCTGAAATGCTCATTTTCCATCCAGACACAATGTTCAGCGCAGCTTCCACGATCCCAGGATAAAGTGGCCGCACTCAGCTCTCTTGGATGGTGACCCAGTAAGTAATATAAAGAAACTAAGTCTTTCTAATGTCAACTTCAGCATGAATATTAAGACTCACATAACACAGATACTGGAAAAAAAACTTCCCCAAAGCCTCTTAATTTAAGTAGGACTCAAAGCACCCGGGCCCCAGAATTACTGTGAATTCCAGTAGCGAACCAGCTTGCAGTCTTCATCTTAATTTCTTGCTTCTCTTGCGTGCTGAGAACCAGCCACCTCGCATCTCCATGACGTGCAAACAGCAAACCAGGCAGGGTCTGTGTGTTGTCGGCAGCTAATTATCACTTAGACAGAAGTGTTTCCACTTTCTGCCTCCTGCTGGGAGACGGCTCCCCAGAAGATCTTCTTTACTCCGGCGTGTAGGACGCAGCGGGTGGATCCTGTAGAGTGCAAGTGAGAACTGCCTATGTGTGACGTTAGCAGTGCAGCCTCGCAGAGCAGGGCCGCTTTGCTCCTCTCTTGTACGTAGTTTGACGTTGCGTCACTTGAAGTGCTCACTTTGCCTCCACGAAGCCACAGGTGAAGTAGGAGGTTCCGGCCATGCACAAAGCTCGTGCTCGGTGTGGTTCAGCTTGTGTCACCTCCCTGCCCGGCCCCACTCCCCTTAACCGTGCAAGAGGAGTCTTCACCCCCACACCCTGGATTTTTTGGCACATTTCTTCTCACACTTACAAATCGCCCACACTTGGCAGAGACTGTATGATCAGGGAAACATTTTGTCATTTTAAAAGTTTTTAAATGCAAATTAATGATTTATTCAATCAAACATCATCAGAGGGCAGGGCAGATTTTCCAGATAATTAGAGTTGGCTCGTTTCATTTGAAAATATCCTTTTTAAGGACTACTATCTAAAATATATAAAGAACTCAAAACAACCAGCCCCCCCCAAATATAAAGACCCAATTCTAAAATGGGCATCTGAAATGAACAGACATTTCTCAGACAAAGAAATAAAAGCAGCAAGTAAATATAAGAAAAAGTGTTCCGCATCACTGGTCATTCGAGAGATGCAGATGAAAACAGCACTGAGATTTCACCTCACCCCACAAAGAATGGCTGCTATCAAGAAATCACACAACAACAAATGTTGGCACAGTTGTGGGGAGAAAGGAACCCTTCTCCATTGTTGGTGGGAGTGCAGACTGGTGCAACCACTATGGAAGTCAATATGGAGATACCTCAAAGAGCTGGGACTACAGGTTCCATTTGACCCAGCCATCCCTCTGCTGGGTATCTTTCCAAAAGAATTAAAAGAATCATACCACAGTGATATATGCGCACCCATGTTTATAGCGGCACAGGTTGTAATAGCTAAAACTTGGAAACAGCCCATCTGCCCATCAATTGGAAACTGGATAAAGAAGATGTGGTTTTTCTATAAAATGGAATACTACCCAGCCATAAAGAATGAGAAAGTAGATTCATTCATAGGCAAATGGATACATATTGAGAATATACTCCTAAGTGAAATACATAAGTCACACATGTGTAAATACTGAATAGTTTCTCTGGTGTGAAAAACTAAAATAGTTCTCAGGATCCTAACGGGACAATAAGCAACGTAAAATAGGAAGAAAAGGACCAAAGGTGTAGGGACAGTGAGAAGGATAGGGAAAGGGGAATAAGGGAAAAGGAAAAAAATATGAGAAAATGTAAAAATGGAATTAAAGTGTTTGAAGGTGGGGAGGGGAGGAGGGGGTGAAGGGAGGGCAGGGACAAGGGGAAAAAATGAGAACCAAGACCTGTCATGTAAAGGTACAAGATCCCAGTAATGAATGTAACTGTACCGTCTACCTAGAATGTACCAATAAATTCAATTTAAAATTTAAAAAAATCCTTTTTAATTTCGAACATATTTCTGATGTATATTTTAATGTGCTACTTGAATTCTGTCTTCTGTATAAAATGTGCTGAATGTGTCCTTTATAAATCTGTGTTGTCTTTTAGAGCATCGGCAAGTGTTCATTTCTCCAGTATTCCGAGTGTCGGCTTGGGGATCCGAAGCGCTGTCTGCTACACCAAACATCCCCAGATTGGATGCTCTAGGTTGCTTTTCTTTTTCAACCTGAGCGTATGTCATTGTTTTTGGGAGCCACTGCAGCGCTCTCCATGTTTTGATGCCCGACAGCCCCTCCCCTTGGCATATTCCAGATTAAGCTTTGTGTGGTTGCAGGTGATTATTTTATACTTGCTGGCTTGTGCCAAGACATTTCCAAATCTCCACATTCATGGCTACCCCGATAGTTCGAGGCTTTATCTCATAATATGTAGGAAAGTCTGCTTTCAGGATCAGAGAACAAAATTTAGAGTGGTAAATCCTTTGTGTTCTCGAGGCTGACTTACTCACGGCCCATGTGGAATTTCAGTAAGCAGGACTCAAAGTCTGCGCTGCCCAGAATTAGAAAGGGCTCTGGGCAAACACTTTGAAAGTTGTGTCTGCAAACAGCCAGGATCTACTACATTTTATTTGTGATTCTATACCTGCGACCATAAATGGGGACTGGCAAGGGTTCCGGAGCCAGCAAGCAATATAATTGTGAGAATGAGCTGAGTGTAAGACAGTAATAAATGAGTGAAGCCGGTAGTGCACACCGCTCCTACTTAAACAGATATCTTTAGAAACCTTGCTGGCTTGGGCAAACCCATCTGCACATCACACATGGCCTCTAGAACACAGTAATTCCATTTGTGGGCCATCTCTGTCAGTCTTCTCTCAGATTAGAGTAGTATACCTTCTGAAAATCCACCAGGTAGCATTCTCTTTCTGAACAAGCTGGTATTCTTTTGTTGTGGGCCTTATCTGTCTTGGGAAGTGCGAAAGATTTTATGCTTCATGGTGAAAATGCTCTGATAGGTTTGTTTTAGTTCTTCTGTAGTTGGGTGGGGATTCTTCAGGCATCACAGGAGAAAGAAGAATGTGCTGGTTCTCATCAAGGGCCCAGGTTCAGATTGCGGAAGTTCTCATCCCCTTCCCGTATTCCCAGCTGGGCTATCCCGGTCTCCTCAGCCCTGCTCCCACCACCCCCTCACCTCCCGAGACTAGACTTTCTCATCGGTAAAGTCAGGTGGGAACAGTGCCCACCAGAATCTGAGCACTACAAGAACATGCAAAGAAATGTCTTA